TTTCATCACCCTCCTAATTGTAGATGGTGAGCAGGCATTGAGGAGATGAGTTACCACAAAATTGCCTGAATGAGAGTAGGTTCAAAAACACTCAAGAAAGAAACGAGAAGGTCTGAGTTAAAGGAGAGGCTGGGATAGGCTAGGACTTTTTTCCTGGAGCATAGGATGCTGAGGAGTGACCTTAATAGAACTTTATAAAGTTATGAAGGGCATAGATAAGATGAGCAGACAAGGTCTTTTCCTCAGAGTAAGATTCCAAAATTACAGGGCATAGATTTAAAAGGGACCTGAGGGACAACATTTTTCACACAGAGGTACATATATGGAACGAGCTGCCAGAGGAACTAGTCAAGGCAGGTACAATTACAACATTTAAAAAGCATTTGGACGGGTAGATGAATAGAAAAGGTTTTGAGGGATGTGGGCCAAACGTAGGCAGATGGAACTAGTTCAGTTTAGGAAAGCTGGTTGGCATAGACGAGTTGGGCTGGCGGGCTTGTTACCATGGCTGTTGATTCCATGACTGTATGTCTCCAGGACAGAACAGCTCACTTGATTGGCACCTCAACAGCACCTTAAACATTTACTTCATCACAGGTAAAGTGACAGTAGTGAGATCTAGGAGATGCGCTGCAGCAACATGCCAAGGCTACTTGGAGAGCACCTTCCAAAATACCTCTGCCATGTAGAAAGGGCAGCAGACACATAGGAACACCACCACCTGTAAGTTCCCCTCTAGGTCAGGCACCATCCTTTCTCAGAAATAAATTGCCATTCCCTCACTGTTATTAGGTTAAAATTCTGGCACACCATCCCAAACAACATTGAGGGTAACCATGCCAGAGTACTATAACAGTTCAAGGAGGTGACTCATCACTGCTTTAGCAAAGGAGGAAGAGGCAATAAATCTCGTATGTTTTAGGCTCGTGTGTTTGTTAGTCAAGACGCTGCGAATTTCTGAAGGGTCCCGACCCGAAACGTCACGTTTCCTGCTCCTTTGATGCTGCTTGGCCTGCTGTGTTTCTCCAGTTCCACACTGTGTTACTGTGAATACATGCCGTTCAGCCTCTTCATCTCACAAACCCCGCGTCTATACAACTATTTAAATAGAGCAGGCCAGTCTATTTATTTGGAAAGAGGGAGGAAGAGATTACCACGACACTGCAAATTGTAGAACACCCATGATCAGTAATCAAATCACACACACGCCTAATGTGAAGTTACTAAATGAGACAAAAGCTTTGAAATATTAAGGCACTTCATAGACAACTAAAAGCATAATATATGTGAAGAATTTGCTCTTCACTTTTCATGCCAGCCTAGAATCTGTCAATTAAGTTCTTGAACTAGGTCAGGCAAAACTTTCAAGGCTTAACTTTTTTTTCTCTCTCTATGACTTACCATTGCTGCCGTGAATGAGAGTCTCTAACTTGAGCAAAGTCGCACTGTGGTCGGCAGCGGCAGCGAGAATGATTTGTCCTCCCCTCCCCTCCAGTGAAGTAAAAGCCCGATCTGCAAGCAGTTGCTTGCCTTGCTTCAGATGTGGAAGCTGGACTCAGCGTCTGAAGGAAGCTCCCTGTACTCCAAGCTTCGGGGACCTTGCAACGTCATCGCATGCCTGCACTCGGGATGTCAGTGGGAAAAAAAGCGAGAGCAGTCCGCAAGCGCCAGCGGAACTGAGGTAACCAAATTGGAACAAAACAATGAGGAACTCGGTCTGTTTGATTCGATTTAGGTTGCACAGGTCTTCAAGCCCAACTCTGATTTTTATCAGACCTGTGCATTAGGAACTCACGCCAGTCACGTACCTGAGGTAATAATTGCAGCAAGACTGAAGCAGCCGCACACGTCTGCCTTTTTCCTAATAACAGCTCCATGGCTTCGGCCTGTCTCTTAAACCGAGCCGCGCAACTGCTGCCAGCAAGATTCAAGGAAGGAGCTTGTGAGAAAGAATGATCTGGAGCAGTCTTAAGGAGCTGTTCAAACATTAATTATAGCCGCTTGGTAAATATCTGTGTTACTTTTAGGAAAATAAACCAGCAATCAACAGTAGCTTTTAACATTAATTCATTTAAAATTGAATGTGAAATCCACAGTATATGTTGCTAAATAACAAAAGGCCCTTGTGTCTGGATGGTAGATTTGAAGGATAATAAACATACAGGAACATTAAACAGTAAAGCGCAGGACTCGGGCCCTTCGGCCCACTATGTCTGTGCCAACCATGATGTCATTCTGAACGAATCCCATCTGCCTTCATGAGGGTGTGTATCCCTCGACTCCCTGCCTGTTCCATGTGCCTGTAGAAATGCCTGTTAAATGTTGTTAAGATATCTGCTTCTACAAAACCCCCTGGCAATAATGTCCATTTTTGAAATGTTATGCTGCCCTTGTAATGAATTGTGCTCTCCGTTTGTATCATAAAAGGTCATTGATTTGACAAGTCAAACCCAGTAGGATTCCATTGGTCCTTTGGGGACTGCATGCTTGGAGGATAGGGCATTGGTTTGATCAATCAGAATCAACCTGGCTGTTAACAGTTAACTGTCAATCACCTTCTATTCGGTGCACTGTCCATGTCAATGTCTCCACCAATCGGACTCCACTTGCCAACAATCTCTTCTGTCACAGTATAAAAAAAATTGCCTTTGAGTTTTGTGTAAGAGCACTTCTGAATATAAAGGAAAAAAAGAGAAAAAAATATGAAAAATATGTTTCAAAAACTCTTGTGGTGCAGTGGTAATGCCCTTACTTGTGAGCCAGATGATCTGGGTTCAAGTTCCACCTATTCCAGAGGTTTGTAAAACATCTCTCTGAACATTGATGAGGAAACACTTAGAAAGGTTGTTTCAAGGGCTCAAGGCACAGTGGTAGTGAACCTGGATTCAACATCCACCTGTCTGAGATAGGTATCGTAACATGTCTGACTAGGGCAGCATGATGGCTCAGTGGTTAGCACTGCTGCCTCACAGTGCCAGGGCCCCAGGTTCGATTCTGGCTTTGAGTGACTGTTTTTGTGGAGTTTGCATGTTCTCCCCATATCTGCATCGGTTTCAGCTGGGTGCTCCGATTTCCTCCTGCAGTCCAAAGATGTACACATTAGGTGGATTGGCAGTGCTAAATTGTCCATAGTGTTCAGGGATGTGTAGGTTGGATGCGTTGGCTATGGGGAATGCAGGGATCGGGTGGGTGGGAAGCTCTTCAGAAGGTCTGTGTGAATGTGTTGGGCCAAACAGTCTGTTTCCACAATGGGGGGATTCTATGAGGTTATTTAAAAATATCAATTCTCTTCCTTCACAATATTTTTTTCTTGTGCAGTTTTCAATTCCCTGCAAAATAAGTAGCTTTGACAAAGTGGGTTTTTTTAAGCAATACTCAAAATAAATATTGCAGCATCTTTGAGTATTGGCAACAACAACATAATCATTTCTGATGTGATTTTAAATTGAGTAAATCAACAGCCAGTATTTCTATTGTGCCTTTTAGATATAAAACAATTCAAAGCGCTTATAGGCATAGTAAGGAAAATAGGCATAACAAAAATGGGAGACACTGGAATTTTTTGCGACATGGTTCAAATAAAAAGAGGTCTGACATTTAAAGAAGGAATATGACCGGTTGCCTTGATCAGATTTGATGGAAATCTTGTTAAAATAAATGTAACTTAGGGGAAACATACCAAATTTGACATCACATTGATAAAATGGTCCACTTGCATTCTCCTTAAATGCTACTGCACTGTCTGGAATGCTGAAGCTAATGATAGTCTTTTGCTGCTGCAGAGATCTCCAGGCTGTTACACTCTCCAAATGTTCTACATTTCATGAGAGACATCCTAAAGTGTATTTTAAATGTGGGAATTGGATTCTTCCCACTTCTCCATCTTCCCAAACATATATACAGAAACTAACTTCATATAACACCTTGTGACCTCAATCATTATTCGTTTTGAAAATGTGCTTCTGCCATACGGACCACTAGGTTTTTAGTTGAACGCGGTAATTTCCCCAACCACTCTGGAGGAATCTATTCTCCTAATCTTCTACCCTCACTTCAACATGCTCAGTCAGACTCAATGATTCACTAATCACTTTCTCCCAAGTGGTTGCATCAGAACTGCTGCTGAGACAATGCTGAATGGCTGGGGAAATGCATCAATAATTGTAGAACATGATGACCTTGATTACCTCTCTAAACATCTGGTCTCTTCCTTCATATTGTCCCCAAGAATTTCAAGAGTTCACATTTACATGACTCCAGCTAAATATGCATTGCTGATATATTTTGGCAGTCCATATAATGCTGAAAGGACCTTGGCCTCTCCTTGCTCTACTGTTAATAACCTGATCTATGCAACTGCCTCCTATTTCCCTCTCTTTTATAGGTTGCCCTGTTTGTTTTCCAATGAATTAAAAAGCTGGCTTCTCATGCAGCCTTAATATTTTCAAATTTGATGATCCTTCTCCAATAGAAGTTGTTTGAGACTGATTATTGCTTTGCAATATGAAAAGGCAGAGTTAAAAGAATGAGACTGGCAAGAACACAATACCATTGCTATCTGATTTAGAGATTAATTAATGTGTGGGTTCCTTCAAGCCCAAAGCTGACGTGGATGAGGATAGCTATCTTACTGGCCTAACTAGAAAAATCTTGATGAATAAACAATAGGAAATTATTTACATTACAGCAACTATGTAGAAATCACATGAAAATGATCTGTCTTGCTACAGAGGTTATTGGAAGCATAGTTGCCTCAGACTTATCTCCTCCCAGCCCTTCTTTACTCTGACTACGTCCTTATGAATTCATCACAGTGGATGGTGCTTACTGCACAAAATCAAATACTAAATCTTTCAGATCCTTTCAGGTGCACGTGCAGCATAACCTCCCAACTCTTTTTCCTTCATACTATTATTGATGTACATTTGAAGTGTTGTTGTTACCTATTTGCTTATACTGCATTTTGATCTTGGACGCAACTTGGAATCTGAACTCTCAGTAATCCGACAGCAATGGAAAATATTTCAGCCAGACTATTTTAGTGACAATTTCCCAATTTATTTATGATATAAAACTTTTTTTTATTCCAACACAACTAATCTTAGAAGATTCTGCTTTTTCTCTTCGGTCTGCCTTTTGCTTATGGAGTCCAACAAATCTTTAGTCACATGACATCAGGTTATAGTCCAACTTTATTTGAATTCACAAGCTTTCAGAGCGCCACTCCTTCATCCACCTGACGTGGTGTCATGTGACTTCTGACTTTGTTCACCCCAGTCCAACACCAGCACCTCCAACAAATCTTTGTACCAGCTTTTTCTTGATCTTTTGCTTAATAACCTCTTACACATTTTCAATGAGGTCGAAGTCAATACACACTGTTGTACACAGAAGTTAAAATTCTTGGTTGGGAAGTACGTATGATTTTCTTTTAGTATTTGATGTCTTCTATGTTGAAGGATTGCTACAGCCTACGTTTAACCTAAAGTGCAAAGTCCTCTGGACCATGTATTTGAACATTGGACACCTGTGAATTGTGTTATGTAAACCAAGGCACACTTACTTCAGTGACTAACTTTAAATTCTTGAGACACTCATTCACACAAATATCTGCATGCAAAAATATTTGGTCTTAGTCACTGATTTCCCCTCAAAACAGTTTGACCTTACCTTCTGCTGGTGACTGTTCTACCCCATTTATCTCTTTTCATGTTCATGCCAGTTGAGTTTCTTTCCTCTTCACATTTGGTAATCAAGGGACATATCAGAGAAGGACAGCAAGTGTGGAAATGTCTGGAGAAGGTTATCAGTAGTGATGAAAAAGCAATAATTTTGCAGAATAGCAACCAAACTGTTGGGGTGTATTCATTATAACTAATTTGCGCTTATTAAGTATTTGCAGTCTGAATAAATCATAGAAAATAATGAAGCACATTTGCTTAATTGATTTGAGAAAAGTTAGGTATTGTTAAAGAAATTAATAAAGTCTGGATTGTGTTAACTGTAAATCTGGTGACTATGCAAAAATAATTGCTTTGTCCAGTTTCGTTTGAGCCTTTTCATAGAAGGTCTGATTATCAGTGAGGGTAGTTCACTTGACACTAGACCTACACAAGGTGAAAATGGCTGATAAAATGGTTTACTCTGCTTTTTTTTATTGGTTAAAGCATGTTGCCATTCCCAAATCTTATCAGGAAGTCACAAATTTTTTCACTTTACTTTGATCCTTAATATTTACAGGACCTTCGTAACATTTTAACTAATCTACTCCATACACTGTGGATATACACTCACTGTTTAATACAGTGTAATTGAATGAGTTTTTGACTAAAAGCTTCATTACTGTACTGAAGCTTCTTGTAACTAGTACAGTTCCCTCTGCCTGATTGGTATTACCATTTTTTCCTTTGAAACTTCTATTTTGAAATTTTGAAAACCATGTTATTCCATTTAGAATAATTAATTGTGTAATCACATCCAACATACTGGCATTCCTGGTTCCATTCTTCGGTTACAGTTCCCCAATTCCTTTTACAATTGTCAGAGGCATCTCTATTCTCACTCATTTCATTTACGATTCTCCTTTTGTATTGACACTTTCAGGCAGTATCTAGACACTCAGGGTTCTGACGTTTGTTCCAAAAACATATTGTTTTTTGAAAATCTAATGGAAAAATGACAATGGGTCAGTAACACCGTAAGCAACGCTGTGTTTTGCTCTTCCCAGATAAACACTAACACATTTGCTCTGCACAATCTTTTCTCCATCATCACCAGCTAATCACTTCTCTTACCTTCTGCAATCTTTGGTGGTACGTCAAGCGTCAACAAGGAAGAGGCCACAGTTTGAGTCTTTCTGTGTCAGTACCACCTCCTCCAAGGAAGCCTTTGAATCCTCAGAGAATTCACTGGCAAGGTATTGACTACATCCTTCCCAGCGCGGGGACTGTGACCTCAGTGGGTAGCTTATTTAGATTAGACTCGGTGACACAATTTGGTAAGCTCAGACATCACAAGGTGACAATCAGTGAGCACAATGTACTTGATCATTCCTTCAGGAGTGCATTTCAGAATTGGATACTGTGATAAATATTGACATTCAGATTACAGCGAATTGACGGCAGATGAATACCACTTTTTAATCACTGGAGTCATGATGACTGGAGTAACCCCTCTGAAGACCTTACATTCCAGCACTACATTCTGCCTTCTTTGAAAAATCAATTACTTTTTCAGTCAAATTTGGATG